TATTATTATATATATAGTCATATATATAACCTTATTTATATAATTAAGTATATGGAAAAAATCACCTTAATATAGGAATATGCAAAGTATTTCTAAAATCACATATAGTAACTATAAACTAGTCAACAGCTTCAAGATGTCCACCAGATGGTGATCCAAAGCATGTTTTAATGAGGCGAAGAAAGAACAAGAACAAAGAACTAATCTACATTTTAAAACACTCTCAGGAGACTGTGGTGGCAGATAGTGAAAACTAAAAACGATTTCTCACTCTCCAAATTAAACAGTGTAATTACCATCCTGAAATTGTGAATGAAAAACAAAAAATTTTTATGGACAGAAAATTGATGAAAAGTAGCCAAAGATAATTTGAAAAAAGAACCTGGAAAAATAATCTTCCCACACCCACCACGAACTTCAAAATCATAATGATTAATATAATTCCAGGTTTATTTTTTTTTTTATTCTGTTAGGCAAACTAAAGTTGCTTTATGAAAGTTAAATACTCAAAAATATATGAATATTAGAAGTTAAAAACAATCATACAATCTCAAACAATAAAATGGCATAAAAAATACATATGGCAACCTAATATATTATCCTCAGTCTCATGAGAGCTGTCTTAGAGATGCACACAAAAATCAGAAATCAAATGTTCATGACATTTACTAAGACATTACAAATTCCCTTCTACAGTAAATAAACTACTGTTCTAAAATCTTTTTATATGCTAAATGGATCTATATCTAAAGGATGAAAGCCAGCTACTTCTACCAACTGAATATCTAATAGATAATCTGGATTTTTTCTACATCTAACTTAATGGAGTGACATACTGTAGTTGACCTCAGGTCGACACAGGCAGCCCAGCTCAGTGGTGGAGTAACACAAACAAGATAACAAGACTGCAGAAGAACTAGTAAGTTGATTCAGTGGTGGGTAAGGAGTGGTATTTTGGCTTGTCCCAAATGGTAAATTGGCCAAGGAATGAACATGTGCTGAAACTGGTAACTGATGGTACATTACAGAAGAAACTGGCATTTGGGATGGCATGGAAGAGTGATGGATTGCTGCTGCAGGTGTCATCAGAGTGCCCTGCAAGATGGTCTCTTTTTGCTGAATAACAACTCTACTGTATGAAGATGGCAAAGATATTGCATCATTCATTACTGCAGTTCTTGATGGCTCCAAGATAGAAGAGAGATTTGCAAAATGTCCATAATCAGCATTTTCAAAATCCAAGGCATGAGTACTAACAATATTCAGAGAAGACATTCCTTCTCCGTGCTTGCTAAAGGATTCGTACACCTCTCCTTCTGAATCCCATTCAGAAAGCTTCAGTACGTTTGTTGATGTCAGAACAGAAGAATTCCTTATGTCTTCATTATAACCAATGATTTCTTGTTCTACTGCCCATAGAGAATATCTCAGATTGTCCCTTTGATTTTTGATGGAGTTTTGTCCTAAAACAGTTATATGACTTCTCGGTGTTACAGTTGCTGGCAAGCTTAACTCTATGTCCCACTGAGTGACCAGGCTTGGAGAAATTGAATCAAGATGGTTCTGAAAACTCTGTGGGAGTGGAGGTGTGGAATAGCTGTTAGGAGGTACGCTGACTCTGAATTCTGAGTCTGAATGAAGAAGGTGACTTAATTCCAAAGACCAAGAGACTGGAGGGAAGTCAGAGCTCATCAAACTGATGTTTTTTAAAAGCATACCTGCATCTATTTGAACTTTACTTCTTGCTTTATCAACAGAATATGCTACAGCATCATTTTCTGAAAGACTTTGAGGCTTCAGTGATCCATGTGTTCTTGTACTGTTTACCGAACTCTTAACCGGTGTATTTATCAAGAAAGTAGCTTGGCTATCCCATGAAGACTGGGTTCCTGAATGTGTTGGAATGATAGAAACAAGCTGCTGCCTATTGTTTAGGAAAGTCATATTGGTTTGTTCACTTACTAGGTCAGTTCTAAGTTGCATGTGCAAACTATCAAATATAATTAATTTCTCTGTGGAGTTTTCAAGTATCTTATCAAAAGGACTTACCTGTACCTGTACAGAGGGTTGACTCAAAGGTGCTTCCAAGGAGGGCAAAGGAAATTCAAAATAAAATTCACTCTTGGAAGACATGGTTAGGTTTGCAAAGTTCATTGTTGAGTACAACTGTGATACTGTCTTGCCATTACCTTCTGAAATTCTCTTTGAGAGGCCTGGAATAAATGAGCTAAAGATTTGTGTTTCCAAAGCTGATGAATGACTAGAGCAGTTTGTTTCTTCAGCCCTGTGACCTAATAATCTAATGGCAGATGTTTGTTCAGAGATACTGTCAGCAGGTGAACTAAGGGGTGGCAATCTTTCTGTTGGGGAAGAAAGCAGTTTATTAAATGAGTGCCACCAATTTTCTGATGGCTCCCGAAAAAACACTTGAGATTCTTCTTTCAAATAATAGGAAACAGTCCAGAAACTTGTTGTTAAAGAAGGCGAAATGTCTAGATATTTTGTTGGAAAATCCAAGTAACCTGAGCCCCCAGAGTTGCTGACTCTTTTCATGTTCTCTGGCTCTAACACGGATAAAGACGACTTTTCATTACTACCATGAAATGCATCCAAATTGTTCTCCAGTATTCCATATCTGAGGATCTCACTTGGTTTTTGAAAATATACTGAATGTTTTAAATAATGAGACCAGTAATTGCTATTAGATATAAACATGCTGTCACTTTCCAAATGTATGTCAGTCAACAATTGTTGATAAACAGGCAGGGTCATTACAACATCCTTAAATGCTGAACTTGTCCAGCCTGTTCCTACCAGAAGTGCTGAAAAAGGCAGTAGTTCTCTACTGTGTCCTAGGAATGAATCTGTCAGTTGGATATCAGGCATAAATTTTGTGTATGTTGTTTTCATGTTTTGAAAAAAAGTTGTTGGTTTTGCATGTGGAGTCTCCATAGAAGTTAAATTTGTAATGTTTCCTGAGTGATGTTCCTCAATGTGTGTAGATCTTCTAAACTCAAATTCACTATTTGCTGCTAATGTAGAAAATGTTTCCTTATCAGCATTGCCTTCTATCACTTCCAGGTAAAAATTTTCAGCTGAGGAGTCTAGAAAATCTAGCCTACTTCTTTGGAATGATGACTTCTCCTCTGCAGCTGACACAGGTAAGCTAGAAAGAGAATGATGTCTGTCTTGAGTGTCAGAGGTGATATAATGATGAAATAAGGTCTCATTCCACCAACTCGCAGGGTCCAAGATGTTGCTTATATGCATGAAATTGGTTGTACTGCTGTCGGAGAATGAAATCCACACAGTTTCCTTTTTGTGTTCATAAGCAGTGCTGCTCCTGCTGCGAACAGGAGAGTGGAACACTGCCTCTGAGTCAGAATGATCCAGCCCATCTGCCAAAGTCTGTGCTACCTCTGCATTAGGACTTCTGCTTTGACGAAGAGGAATTGCTGCATTCACAGAAGGCTCTGTAACAGCATCCGATGCATCAGAAGTGCCGTGAAATGAACTTCTAGAGTAATTCAAAATATTTTCATTTGGTAACTGATTCATCACAGTATTATCTAGGTTGATTTTTTCTGTAAAAGCAGCCAAAGTATTATTGCCAGTCTCCTCTGAAGTGGATGATGTGGACATAGTTGGAAGAAAAAAGTTGTACATATTTTTTCTCTCTGGGTTCTCATCTACTGAGTTTTTACTGAAATGGAGAGGCCTTCGTTTCACTGGCCAAATAATTGGGGTTGAGATAATTCCTATGGTTTTTACCCCTTCTATCTTAGACTCTTGGTGCCTTTGTGGTCGTGTATGGGAGGATTCAGGTGAATTTCTCTTCATTCTGAAGATAAACGTAGCAGGAAGTCTGAATTCCTGCAGGTCTGTGTGTAGTAAGCCAAATAGTTAATGGATTAAAGAAAATATATGCAACTTAACTGTCTGTTCTTGGCTGTCTGCTCTTGGTCTAAAAATCAACTTACCAAGAGTGGAAAATTACTCCAGTCAGCTGAGTGAAAGTTTAATTTGCTTCTACTGTAAATGAATTTGGGTTATTTTTCTTAGTCTTTCTACTTTCTCTTGGGAGTTTCAAAGCCAAAGAAAGAATTTAATTGTCCAGCTTTTATTCATACTAACATTAATAAGGCTTTCTCTCTGTAGTTACAAAAATCAAAAGTTAACTGCTTATAGTGAACATAGAGTGAATGGCTCCACAAAAGAAAAATGCTCTATTTGGAAGAAATTTTCAATATTTGCTTCTTATTTCTACAGCTTACTAAGTCTGAACAGGCTGAATTCAGACAAATTCTTTCATATTGTCTACTGTACTGCCTGACTGCCAATGTACAAGAAATGATCTGCCAAGAGAAAAAATACTCCAAGAATTTTAAAACCTACAGTAACAACTGATGCATTTGGGGATAGAACCAAAACCAACCAAAAAAAAACCAAAACCCCAGCCCAAAATGAAAACAAACCACAAAACCCCCACATATTCTAATTTATTTCTGTGAAGCACACTGAAAAAAAAAAGTCTTAAAAAAACCCCATCTTTAAGCCTCAGATGAAAATTACAGAAATCTATCTCTGTGTTGTTAATAATGTTTAACAACTATCTTTAACAAACTAATAAATAATTTAGCTGTGCCTCACAAAATGATGCTCAGTCTCTAGGAGACAGTGACATCACAGAATTTGAGAAAACCTCAAAAGAAATCCCAGCTTTTTTCCTGTGCTAATAATAGGTTCATTTACTACCTTATTTTTTCCCTTAATCTTTCTAAATGAAAAGTAAATGATATCTGATACTGTCAACATTTTCCCTAGTAAAGTCTGATCCAGCTCTTCTTGAAGTCAGTGGAAAGATTCCTGTTGACTCACTGGAAGTGGCTTTGCTCCATAGGAGTGATTCCACTTGGCTCCTGTGACTGACTAGTGAGGAACAGACAATCTCAGCATACTATCACCCTGGCTGCATAAGCGGGAGCTACACAATGCCTCATAATCTGTAGCCCTAAAACATTCCAATAGCATGGTTCTTTTCAGACTCTTCAAAATTCCCTCTCCCTTCCCTCATTCTTTGCATGGGTAAATACAATGGGTGAGTCCCTTTCATATAAGTGCCAGGTAAACATGATATAAATAAACACAGAGTTTGGTTCTGTTCTCATTTACACCATTTTTACATGGACCAGTGGAGTTACTCCCGATTTATTTCGGTGTAAATGAGATCAAAACTGAGGCATGACCCTTGACATTATGATACTATGAAAAACACACCTTAAAATACAACGAATTTGCTCTAGACACAGTACAAGGAAAAATGTAACACAGAATTTCTTACCATTGTTTGGCTTATCGTTTCTATTAGTATCGGGCATGTTAGTGGTGACAGTGGGTGGTGTAGGAGTAGTAGCATTTACAGTAGCTGGTAATAAAGATGAGAGAGAGGTGAACTTGAATGAAATATGAATGTTAATAAGGTAAGACAAAATGGGAACAATGCATGACAATGTAAACTGAAAACATCTACACACAATGTCGTATTTTAAAATAAACACTTTTTTTTTTGTCTGCAGAAAGTGATAAGTGGATATGAACTGAGGTCCCAACCCTGCAATCTTCACTATCACTGACTTCAGTGGGAGTTTTGCCAGTGTCAGATTTGCAAGATCAGTCCTGCTGCTTTCATAAACTCAAAATCCTCTCATGAGAGCTTCAGATCCAAACAGCTGTGCAAAGACCAGAAAACAGATCTGAGATGCATGTATTTAGAATATTGCTTGTGAAAAGAATAAATGTCCCTAGTTAGGGGCTGAAGACGACAAACAAATATGAAACTAAAACACCCATGTAAGGATCCAATTGTCACCACTGAACTCCATTGACTAAAGAGAATTGAAATCACATTTGGTATAATTAAAGTGGACTATATATTTTGAAATATTTCCCAGGAGAACCAGCTAGAACACTTCTAAAAATCAGAGTGAGGAGCCCAACCTGCGAATTTCCCCCCCAGTGGACTGGGAAAACACACATGCTAGAGGAAATCAAAGATCATATCATTAAATTAAAAAAAAAAAAAGTTTGGAAAATAATTTCTTTTTATCTAGTAACTTCCAGGGAATGCAAATCTACTCACTGACAGATTTCTTTTTTCCTGAAAACTCTTTAAAATCTGAAGGTTAGTGCAGTATAACCTCAGTATTGCATTCCTTTTGCAATTTTTGACCAAGAACCAACCCGAAAAGGTTAAGCAACTGTATTTTAGGCAAGAAATTATGCTTCTGACTTTTTATGTGGTTATTTCAGCTAACCTTTTGAGTCTGAAAGTCATAAACTCAGGTCTCAGGTAGGGAGCAGGTTCATGCCCAGATTTCAGTGAAACAAGAAGCTTAGG